GAAATAGAAGTAGTTGGAGAATAATTTAGAATAGAGAACAGATGAGGCACAAACGAAGCTCGAATAAGAGTTGAAACAGCTTTGTTGATCCTTTAGACCTACATGTGTTATATTTGGCAATAACACATATAGGTCCAATATGTTCATTTCATTTTAGCGGTAGGTCTTGCTGACGAGTTGGAGCTCTCCCGTGGAAATAGAAAATAACATACCTGGTGTTTGGCTGCTATTTTCCTCAAGGACTAGCTCCTTGTGAAGCTTTGCATTACTGTCAGAGGGGGTTTGCCATGGAGCGATCTACATTTAGATCTCCAGGAAGTTGTGCAGCGTTTCACAGGGAATTAACCTTGAAGGGGATGGCATCCAAATTTAAATCAGGTAAGATTTCATTTTTTATGGGCTTAGGTGTGTTATATTTTGATAGCAACTTGTATAACTTTATAAAGTTACAGATATTCTTGTAGTATTTACAGCAAAGACGCTGTATGATACATTCAGTTTTTACAGAACATATGGGATTTATTGCCATTCATTAATTTTCTTAACCACTTATCCGATTTTGGGATTGAAGCCTGCTCCTGTCACATGGCAAGAGGCAGGGTACAACCTGGACAGGTCACCAGTCTATCAAAAAAAGTTGGATAATCATTCACATCTATGACATTTTTAGAATTTAAATTCATCAATTTGGACTGTGGGTGGAGTACCCAGACAGAACCATAGATGCAAACTCCACACAGAAGAGCCCCACGTGACAGGTGGAATCAAACTGTGATCATTCTTCTTCTTCTTTAAAAAAATACCCATAGTGAAAAATGTCATTTACATTTAGAAGTGCATGCAACAAGTATGCATCATATTAAACAAAATTAAACGACCACTCTAGCCGTATGTGTTATTTTGCTTCATCTGCATTAATCCATGAAACTGAATAGAACCGCTTCACCAAGAATCCATTGTAGTCTGATTGAAATGAAACTGAAAGATCCTTTAATCCTTTTCAACCATATCACTGATTTGTACTAACCCCACTTTATCCAGGCACCCCTAATCCACAGCATTAAATTCCTCTCGCTTTGCATTTAAATATCACACTGTCATCAACTTGTAATCTGATATGAAATTGTCTACCAAAGGGAACAGGAGATTTGGGAACGGACAAGGATATAGCACACTTTGCGTCACATCTATTTCATTCCTTTTCTTCATGTGCATTCTGCTTGTTTTTGGTATTCCTGGGTCATTTTGGTCCTGACCCAAACAAATAATTGGAAAGCTAAAAGCACACACAAGCTCATGGCTTATCAAAGAGTCTTATAAACAAGATCAAATGCCAGCTTGTGTCTAGCCTCCTCAGTGTTTCTCAGTTGCAATAACAATCCATTATTCATTTTCAAACCTAACAAGAAATTTCTTGATCCTAATCCCTGCGTGCAGCTTAAAATTTAAATTACTATTGAATTTTTGTCCATTTCTCTTATGATAAACCTCAGAGAGGGGGGAAAACAATTGGGATTCATAACAAGTTGAGTGTGGCATTAGAGTCGTCCTTCCAAACACTTCCCAAGGTTCCTTTCTTTTTCTGAGCAACTTTATTTGAATTCCCCCACAAGACTTATATATGAAAGTGAGCATCTCCTAGCTGTCTGCTCCCATTTATCGCTCTACCCCAACTGTTCAGAGATCTCTTAAATGTTCAGTCAGTCTCTTGTAGCTTGAAGGTCACATGAGTTCATTTGGAGTTCAGAAATCTGTGGCATCCTATTCAGAACTACAGAGCAACACTGTGAAAGCTACTGCATTTACTGTTCGACATTCTTTTTTTTCTGCATAATTATTTCTTTATTTCAAATTTTCTAGTGGAATAAGAGCCTTATAGTGAATTACACAGCTCTTAAATGTAAAAGGTAAAAGAAAAAGTTTTTAAAATGCTGTTTTTTGGAAGTTAGACACAAACAAAAACAGTTAACATTTGAACTGATTTTAAGCATCCCTGATGGTCTCATTAACTGGACCCTAGACTGCAGGGAGACGAGCGCGACTCCCTATTTTTCATACCATACAATTCATCAGTCTCAAGGGTTTTGCCCTATAAAATATTATCCTCAGACAAAAACCCCGTTTCCCAGAAGGCTTGTGTTACTGACACGTCCAGATTCTGAAAAGCCTCTTGTTAACAACAGCTGTAAAGTGAGCTTGTTCAATTCTTTCAAGTTGAATCTCTCCCTCTTTCTGTTGCTTTCATTTCTCTCTCTTAGTGTCCCATTTCTCTTGTACTTGTGGGACGATCTTGAATTAATTAAAAGAAAAGACTTTGAAGTTAGATACTTGGCCTCGGGGCATTCTGTTTCATTTTTGTTGTGGTGGGAGTTGCGCTGTTGTTCTGTTGTTACGTTGTAACGACCCAGAGATTCCGCTACTGGTCAGTGTCATGTTATTAGGCAAAAGATGCAGTTCACCATAAAATTGTCTCTTAAAAAAGCAAACACATCTCTAGAACATGTGCCTGGTATGTCCAATTTTATAACGCTTGGTCTCTTCTTTTATTGTCTCAGGTTCTTCTTATGATTGCATTATGCTGTAATAACTTAAAGACCACAGTAACTGTTAGTATAGTAAAGTTTTGCGCTGTCTTTAGATTAAGCCTTACAATTTCAGAAATTGCTATTTACAGATGTGTCGTGGTTCTGCTGTGATTGACAGACAACACACAGTGTTTGGATTGTCATCTTGTACCGTGGACTGTGTTTCTGTGCAACTTCAGTGCTTAGTGGTAATGTGACAATGAATGATGATGACTAGTTTTAGCTTTAAGAGCAGTCAAAGTTGAGTGAGCGAGTTCAGTAAACCCTTCATCATACTCAACTGTCTTGTAAGAAAAAGGCATCATTCTATATCCACGGCCCCTCTCCCGCAGCTGTCTAGCTACTCTAGTACAAATAGAGAGCCCTCCCAAGAGAAATGGATCATCTGTACAGGAATGAGACCCGGGAGCCCCTCAACATAGTGATGTCATATGAGGGGGTGTTGATCTAACCTGAGATGATGGGCTGTCAGCAGCTGCTGTTGCGGACAGAATAAATACTGAAGAAGTAAGAAACAAAGCAACGGATGAGACAGGAAGTCAGATTAGCGGGAGAGGATACTTATTGTGATGTAAAATGAAAAGAAAGCTACTGAATACTAATGAAAGTCATACTAATGGAAAACAGAAAAACAGAACAGACTGAATGATGACCGAATTAGAAGCCTGGTCGCTAGCCTGCCAAGCTCCCCCTCTCAGCATGAGACTCGTCCCTATTTTCCTCCTGTCAGCCCCGCCTATCTCTGTTACACTCTCTCTATTCACTGCCATGACATGCTATGTCTAAAGCTGAGTCTGTGAATGAATGATATTACCTCATGCAAATAACACCATCTACCCTGCAGGCCCATCACATGCTTCAAGCAACTAAAAAGCAGTAACTCATCTCTCTCGCATTGGCTTTGATTTCTTCTTGTTCCACTCTAATAACCCTCCGCTCTATTTTCTCTACCTCTCTGTCTCTGCAATGGCCCCCTTTTTTTTATATATGTAAATATATGCAATAGGTTTTACGCTTAATAGATTTCAATATAGCAAAATAATCAAAGTGGCTACTGCTGTCTATAGATCTTTCTCAGGCTGGTAATAACACAAGTTATGGCTTGCTATTTAATATTTACACCCAGTCCCTGGCATATCAGTGTGGCTTTTCCATAGTAACCGAAGCAATCTGTCCAGATATTGCTGGTGCAGCAGAAATAGGCAGAGTAATTTTTTTGGCCCCAGCTGTTCACATTTGGGGACAGGAGACCGTGGCTTGTCTTCTGATTGAGGTTTTTGTTTTTCAAGCTGTTTTCTTCATTTTCACTCTCATGTTACTTTCATTTTCCTCATTGATTAGGTTTATTGAAAAGAAGTACCTGCTTAACTTTAAGAAAATATGGTTTTGATTTAAAAAAAAATAAATAAATGTTGCTTCTTAAAAAAAAAAATGTTGCAGTCATATGTGCTGAGTTGGAAGTGAGACCTGTTTATTTCATGACTCTGATGATGTACATTTCAGACAGAAAGGTGCAAACTGACATGATATTAAATAACTTAAATGATAAAGACAATATAAACAGAAAATGTCATCATTGATTGGGCTGCTGTTTAACTCTAACACATATGCATGTTCTGACCCATTCCACCCTTTTATGCTTCTATTTCTACATGTTTTCTGTTACGTTTTTCTCTGCTCCAGCTCAAGCGGGTTTGGTTATCTTTGATGTCCCTTGAGTGTTTTAATAATTTGTTAAATGTGTGTTGTTGATGGTTACTCTGCCTCCCTCTATCACTCTCTCTCTCTCTCTCTCTCTCTGTCAACTTGCCTCCCTATAAGGCGTGGGCTACAAGTAAGGCAGAGCCACATCGCCATACTGACCACAGTATAATGCTTAGTGTTTAGTGTCTCATATTCACCCTACAAAGTATAAACTAACATCATCTGTATACATGGAGACATACATATGTCTCTGACCATATGCAGGCCTAACACATGTAAAATACAGAAAACACACGTACGTATGTAGAGAACAAAGGAGTTTCTTTCGACTGCTGTCGCATGGGGGGGGGGCAGCTGTATTCTAATGTATTAATCATCTTGTCTCCAGCTTGCTAATTAATGACCCATCTGTCCCCACTCACTGATGTTCCACTTCAAACTCCCCAATAAACAAACACACACAGAGAGGCGCTGCGGCACAACAACCAAATTCTCGTTCCAGTGATGCAACACCAACACCACTGCTGTGCACACTGTACGCTGCACTGTCTCATCTGCATTCAACAAAACCTCCAAAGTGTTTATGGCAGCTTCATGAGAAAGGAGTCCTCCTCATCGGTTGCTGTGCGTTTAGCTGGCAGACGTGTGATCAGGCTTATCTGTGTGTGTGTCTATGTGTGCACTTATGTAGGTGTATGTGTGTGTTCATAGGCTTATCAGGTGAGCCCGGGCAGAGTGTCAGATGCAGTAATGGAGGCTTCAAAGACAAGCGCTGCGGTGAGTTCCCTGGCTGCCTTTTAACAAACCCCCCACCCTTCCACCCCTCCCTCTCCCATCCTCGACTATTCCCACCGCTGGGACGCAGAGGGACAGAAAGGCACATAAGTAGATAGCTGGATGGATAAGGAAGGGAGGCAAGAAGTGAGATAAGCAGGCAGGTGAATAATTAAGTGGGTGCAAAGTCAAATAGTCAACAGGTAGGCGTACATCAGGCTGAGTGGCAGGTAGGAGAGATATTGGAGAGCACAGTTGCCTGACAGTAAGACAGACGCACGGAGGAGCAGACAGACAGTAAGACATTCAGACGCGGCTAGGTGCTTGTACAGGCCACCTCCCCTTCACTTGCATGAGTAGAGATACTTCAAACACTCGCCGCTTGTCTTCTGCTTTGTTCTGTTGTTCTCATCGCAGCTGCTAATGTTGTTTTGATGCTCGTCACCACCATCGCTGATCTGTTTCCTTTGAATGGGAGTTCTATTCCTGACTTCCCATTTGCTTGTTTCCATTTTGGTCTTTTATCCTGCATATGTGTTTGAGTGAACATGTTTGTGCGTGCGTGTTTTTTGTTTTACATCTGAAAAGCAGTCACAGTTAAGGGATAGTAACTGAGCGTTTGATCATTAAAAGTTGCCATTTGAGGTTGATTGGTTTCATTTTTTTCAGGGATCACATAGTTATTTTCTTGCTTTAAAGTGAGGTAAAGTTAAATCGTGAGATCACAGAGTTTTGTAGTAAATAAAACTGCTGTAAGCACTTGTGGCTGCATAAATGCAAAAATACAGGAAGACGTATGAAAGAGTTAACCTACAAACACAGAACCTACTTTGGCTGCTTCTTATTCAACGATATTCAATTAGAAACCAAATATTTACTGTAACATTTGCAGCAATTCAGCTATTAAAGTCATTTTAATTATCGTGTGTAAAATCTGCAGATTATTTTTAACCTGTTCAAAACTGATGACCTTGTTGATTATTTCTTATTTCGCACCGCATGTAACATTGTTCAACATGGTTCAGACTTCAGTGCATGGCTACTGTGATGGACACTCTCCCTTCTGCAACTATTTTTTTTAATTGTACTTCACGGGCCTTAATAGATATTTGGATTAATTTTTTAAAGTCGTTTACAGTTTATTGAAGAAATATTTTTGCATGAATGTCTTATGTTATAAAGTCTTGGGGGATGTGGAGATAAAAATAAAAAAAAGGAGTCAAACAGTGTTGTAGAAATTTCTTGTGATGTCACAGAATGTATATTTTGTATGTGTATGTGCAGACTTATGGGTTTCATTGGGACTGCAGAAGACATAAATATGAACTCATGAACCAGCACTGATGTCACAGACTTCACCAGAGATGTTACCAAAATAATTATCTACAGATATGACTCCCCTTGCAGATTCATGTAGTTCAAAACTTTTGATGTTTTTTTTAAATGTATTTTATGTTTGGCTTTTGTTTGTTTTTTTTAAATCAGGAAGTATCCAGCATAAAACTACTAAATCGAACATAAGGAGCTACCCACCCTCGTAAACAGATGTTAAGAAATTTTCTAATCACTCTGTTCTTCTGTAGTGTCTTAAGCTTAATGGTTTAGCTAATCAATAACCTTACAATAAGAGTATTTATTTATTTATAAGCAAAACTGCACACATTGAAGGTAATACTTCTACTTGTAAATACTAATCATGCCAATCCTCCTGCTCCCTCCAAACAGCAAACTCTGGAGAACAACCTAACCAACTTGGTGAAGAGGAACAGTGAGCTGGAGAACCAAATGGCCAAGCTCATTCAAATCTGTCAACAGGTTGAGGTATGTAACATATCTTTATGTCTTTTCATTTTTGAATAAAATTCAAATGGTCTCCCTTAATTGTAACTCAGGAAAGTATGACTTCCATATGGAAAGTAGTTTTGTTTGTCGCCAGGTATCATAGCACAGTCAGAGCTTAGTGTCAGCAACAAGATAACAGCCTCAGAGCTGCTAAAGATTCTTAATGAGGGGAGTTCTGCTGGGTGGAAATAAGCATTTCCAAGTCAGTGCCACACCGCACACCACTGAAGCTATTTATATTTTAGTCTAAGCCTCTTTTTATTTCATTATATTTCTGCCTCCTGCTGGATCATAACCGTGACTTTGCCAGCATTAAAATACGAATTCAATTCTTTCAATTCCTTCACCAGCTACTGATCAAATATTGATTAATCCCAACACTGTAAGTGAATGCCAGGCTCTTCCAGTGTTGTCATAAAAAGGTCTGCATCGTTTTTAAAGAGTTGGAGGAAAGTATACAGCAGCAAATTAATAACAAATGTGTCACAGTGATCTTGTTATGTCATTTGGCCATCAATATGATAAGTGATTAGGCACAGCACTTTGAAAATGGAAATAATAGATACCAGTTTCAGTTTCAGAGGGACTGAAGAACACTCGAGAACAAAAGAGTAGCTATCAGCAACCATCCACTTTCAGACCTTTAAAAGGGTTAGTTATGTCATTCACACAACTTCAAACGCTGATTGAGATGACCACTTGAGCAAAGCCAAAACTAAAAGGTGCAACCACTTTAATGTAAAGCTTTAACTGTATCATAAATTCTGATTGTGTGCCTCTTTAATGTCTCAGCTTTGGCTTCCAATACTGCTTAGGTTCTTCCTTGAACTCTTGGCTTCCAATTAATCTCACTGCGATGAATTAGATTTTTAGGATGGATGAATTACTGTTGCATTACTCAACGGTTTAATTCTTACTGGCACCACCCACACAAGAAATTTATGCTTGCCAGCAAATCAGATGAGATTATCTGTCAAATGGCATATAACTCCAAAGTGGAAGCTTTATCTGACTTGTCACAAGGTGGTAATGTGTCACAGCTCCCCCCGGTACGATTAAACGGCAACCTTCGAAGAGTGTTTGCGCTCCGTCCGGTGTCCTGGTGTGAACCGGAACCTGTGTGCACAAAATTATACCTGAGTCAGTCTTGTCACTGTTGACCTCTTCCATTTGGGCCTCTGCTATGATTTAATGGAGGTACTGTTCAAAGCCAGTCAGAGAGTTCTAATGCTTAGCCACAGAGTGTTTTCTCAGCTGAGCATTACTAACACGTTCACACACACATACACACAGGTTCATGCTTTCAGTCTGTGCACACTCACTCTTAATAAACACCATCATTTTCTGTGAGATTTGACATTAATGGCTGCAGAGGACAAATGCATTTTAGTGCCGCCATCACTCTCTGCGTAGTTCATTTCTTACCAGCCGGGCATGACTCCATTTTCTCAGAGTCACTCTGAGGTCCATGAACAGCAACTCATGCAGCCGCTCATCCAATCAAAATTAAATGATTGCTGGGTGATTCATTAAGTACAGACAAACTGTTCGTCAACAGTGCATGGCATGAGAAAAAAAAACTGTCTCTGTTTCGTCTTTGTCTGCATACCAATGTTGAGCCACCGCCACGACAGCAGCACATCTCATCAGTTATTCATCAAAAAGTAATGAGGAGAGATTGCATGGGGGAGAACATGCTTCACCAACTGTCAAGCAAAGCAAATTATTGGAATAAACTATACGTTTTCAACTCATTTGGAGCTATTCTGGCTTTATGATGTCAGTGTCAAAGGGCTACAGTTGTTTATTTATGAGAGGCGTAAGGAAGAGAGACTGGATTGTTTTCAGGTGAGCACACATTAAGGTGCAGAGGCGTTTTATGAGTGCCAGGAAGAGAGGCGAGGGCAAGCGAGAAGAAGAAGCTGGAGAACGGTGGAAAGGCTGAAAACTAGAGGCTGAAGAGGTGAGGGAAAGGAAAAAGAAAATGAAAAGGCAAGAGGCTAACAGGGCGACGGGAACAGAGAATGGGATAAAAAGACGTAAGCGTTAGTGTGACTAGCAGTGATCCTTTTTTTTTATTCTGCAAAAAGAGATGCAGGCAGTGTGTAGAAGAACACGCTCAGCAATAATGCAATACAGCACAAAAAGGGAATAAAAAAGTGAGAGTTTTAGTGAAGGGAGAGGAGTGTGTACAAAATAAGAAATCTCTGAAGGGCTTTAAGCATGACCTGGATTTCTCTCCTCCTTGTTTGCATCATACTGTATTGGTGCCGAAGAAATGATCAAACACAGTGTGAATCAGCTTCCAGTGTGTCAGCACACACTGCAGCGATACATCCCTGTCCTCCAGGGGTTCTCTCCGGGGGAGTTATCTTTTTCTTCAGTCTTAGATGCACTGACTTGATGATGTGTAGGATGCTTCTTTCTGAGTATCCTCACCACAAGGCTTGGTGTGGGATTTTTGTGCCTAATGGTATTCGGTTTGGAGCTTTTTAAAAGCATTGATTTGATTCTTAAGCATTTGTAGTGATTTTTGTTTAGTTAACACTCATCACTCATTTTCACTCATGCTTTGATATTAATAGTCAGCAGAGTAAGGGGGACTCATTGAGGCTCTTGGGTGAAGAGCATTTCCCTAAAAACCACTTTGATGTTGAATAGACGCTGATACAGTGACAGATGTAACTGAATTCAGACCCAGACTGAAAGCTGTGTTAATGCTTTGAATAAGACTAATATGCTATCTGTTACCTGCACGTTATTTTTCTCATTCACGAACTATGTTTTAAGCTATAAGCCGTTTAATATTAAGCCAGCTCACTTCTTTTCTTTTCTTTTTTTAGAGTAATAGTAAAAGCTTTTTACCCTCTTCAAAAACACATCTCAAGAGATGCTCTTATTCTTTTGTTGCCATTTCATTTTCAGCACATTTCTATTTAATTCCCAAAGAGCCTCCCCTTTCATACTTTAACAATACTTCCTTAAAGTGCCCTTGAAACTTTGTCTGTGTAGTGAAGTTCTTGCATTTAATATCTCCCTCTTCTTAATTCATCTTGTAACTTGACAGCTGATCAGCTTTTCTGTCATTCTGTCCCACTTTATCTTGCTCTCTATATGGTAGTTGTCCTCGTCGAGGTCATGGTTCAGCTATGCCTCGTGAGACTGTGTGGTTACAAGGTGCTTGCACTGGCAGCTGTATAAAGAGGAAAACTTTAGAGCCAGAAAGCCCAGACACAGCTAAATGTGGAGTAAGCATTGTTTCTAGGAAGCAGTAAAAACCAGCAGCTGGTGTTTCCAACCGCTAGGATCGTGTTAAACTCGTGTGTGTATCAGAACTGATGGAAAAAAGAATCACATCAGACAGAAGCCTGGTGGGTTTAAATGTTCACACGTGTATATCTACTGATTAAACAGCGAACAGTAAGTCCTTAGCTGAGACCTGTCTAGGTGTGTTTACACTGAAGCTGATCACACTCTGTGCAGAATATGAATCAGTTGTATGGAGATGTCTCTAATGCTGCCTAATCCTTTGCATTAGGGCTCATCTCTCTTTATCTCTCCACAATAGCACCAGAGAGATCGAACCATCTTCTGGCATCATTTCTAAAGCTATATTTCTAAAGCCGTTTGCAGTTCCACTTTTAAGGATGGGAGCATCAATACAATGCGCTAATGGTATATAGATAAACGACATTTCTTCTTTATTGCAAGCTCTACAGTATGTTTGTGCTTTTAACAGATGCCCATACTGTGCATTCAAAGTCGATGTATATCATTCAGCATTCATCTATCCTGGGCGGGTGATACTGTGTGCAACGACCACCCCCCACCCACCCAAAAATGTGAAAGTTATAGCAACTTTTTCAGGATGTACAATATCTTGTTTTCTTGGTTTAATATTTTATCATGCCTTCATTGGCATTTAGGTGTTCACTCATAAACAGCATTTATGGAGGATTTCTTTTTAGCATGATGCTTCTGAAAGTCAGAGCATCAGCAAGTTATTAAAATTCATTTTGAAGTGAGTCTGTCTCAGCCTGTTGGACCGATTCCCCCTACAAGCTGTAATGGCAGATAAGGGTCTAATGTGCCGGCTGGAAAAGCTGGGGAACCCCTGGTTAACCCACACCCTCCAAGTTTGGCAGAAGGTAATCAACATCTGTGGGATACACAAAATGCTAAAAATTTTCAGGTGGGTTGCTTTCGAGTCGGATTTTATTCCAGACAGACACAACTCTAACTTTAAAGCATGGATATCCTATGGCCTTACGACATTCCTCTCTCTTACTCATAGAAATATTGTGCTCAGATTTGAGGCCTTACGGGACAATCACAACCTGACAAAATACGACTTTCATAGATACTTACAGCTGAGATCATATATTGATCATGAATGCAAACTGTCCGACTTCAATGATGCTTAGTCGCATTTTTTCCTCATCCTGAAAAATGCCACAACCATGACCCCTACTAAATCTATTTCTAAACTATACAAAGCTCTCTCTAGTGCCAGCAAGGATAATACTTTATACACTAAGGATAAATGGGAAAGGGAATCAGGGATTGCTATTTCTGTAGGGGAGTGGGAAAATGTTTGGTACTGCCAGTGGTCCACGTCCAGTTCTATGAGCTGGAAGGAACATGGCTGGAAGAATATTATTAGGTACTTCAAGACTCCATATCAGGAGAGATACAAAGGGGCTTATATACAATGCTGGAGACAATGCGGCTCGACTGTTGCTAACCATTTTCATGTCTTTTGGGACTGTCCCGAGTTAAAAAACTTTTGGATAGGTGTTCAGGTCTCTTTAAGTGCAGTCTTTAACGTTCAAATACCTTTAGATTTTAAGGTTTTATAAATGGGTTTGGTCCCCTTTCTGGAACGTAGGAGTGAGATTAAGTTGGCGCAATTACTCTTGGTGGCAAGTAAAAAAACAATTACTAGAAGATGGTTAAGCCCAGCCCAGCCTACCCTAGAT